CTTGCTCCGGCTTCAGTTTCTTGATAGAAGAATACTTTACTTTCGCATTCTTCGCCAAACTATACAACCTGCCCTTCTGACGCAAACTCTCGACATCACCCACATCTAAATACAACACCCGCCTCCCGCGCTCTCTGATTGGTCGGATTGAATTCAACCGATGTAATCGCAAACACAGGGACCAGACCCAGACGTTACATGCAGGAGATGATGATTGAGCGGAGAGTACGGATGGATAAGGCCAGGGTAGTATAGATTGGGAAAAATAATATTTCCAACACATACCTATCAAAACGATTGGGTGGATAAAATCAAAAGTATACTATGAAAGTATCAATTTGTTTCTTCTCTGTGTAAAAACAAAAAATCTCTGAATAAAATGTGGATCTGAAAATATATAACAAACTTCATTCAAAGCATCAGGTCGCCACATAAAATAAACTTTAGGAAACTGGACTAATTTATGAAACGGTCTCTTTTACAGCAGCTTCCAATGGACTGAGGAGGATTTGAACACATGAAAAACATCTCATTGCTAAAAATCTAATTTGTTCCTTTTAGTGTGATCACAGTCAGGTTAAAGACAATATCTGTGAAAGCTGGGGTTCCTAAACATCCCCTAAAATAATGATGCAGTGTGTATTGTGAGGTAAAAAAACAAATATATAGACCACAACATGCTGTCTTCATCTTATCAAAAACATGTTATTGTTTTCATATTTGTAAGAAAGAATGTTGTCAGTCACTATTTGAGGATTTGGGCTGAGAGCTGAAGATGGTCCTTTTTTCACTTTTGTGTCTGGAAAAAGAATATTGAAGTTCACAGAAAGAACAGGAGAAAATAGATGAGAAACTTTATTATCTCAAATTGGAGGAATATGTACTTTTTGAGATTTTTTTATTCTTAGGTTTCGTATGACGTCAGGGCAGTGGCGCGAATAACAAACGTAGGACAGGACGTGACGTATCCTGGCGGTGCAGTCTGCCGGGTTTATACACAGAGATATAGTAGAAGAAGAAGTGGTTTATACACAGAGATATAGTAGAAGAAGAAGTGGTTTATACACAGAGATATAGTAGAAGAAGAAGTGGTTTATACACAGAGATATAGTAGAAGAAGAAGTGGTTTATACACAGAGATATAGTAGAAGAAGAAGTGGTTTATACACAGAGATATAGTAGAAGAAGAAGCTCTGTCAAAATGCCATCTTTTTGTGCGGTGTACGCTTGTAGCAACCGCACAAATAGAGAGAAAGACCAGAGTTTGTTCATGTTCCAACTGTGGTCTCATATAAAGGAGGACACTTTGAACAAATCACTGGAATGAGGCGGGCGAGGTGGATCAAGGCTTTCCCAGATAAGCGCCCCCTGCAGGCCACCCCAATGAAACACAGCAATTTCTCCTGTTTTTCTTTCCAAAAATGCCCGAAATCAAGACTCTTTTGAGAAATATTTTTTGTACTTCCTTAGAATTGAGTGTCCCCGATCAGTGGGAGCAAAATTGAGTTGTCCTACCTCTGCTCATGCGCCCCCTACTGGCCAGTTTAATGACACCTAAGAATACTTATTAGTCATTTTATATATGTATGACTAATGTATAATGACTAATACATCACCAGCTGCACCAGACAGAGAGGTGCAGGGTCCGCTGGTTGGAACACACACTGCTCAGCGGCGGTGTCGGTGACTGGTTGTCGTGTCAGTTTTTGTGAGAAGGAAAAACAAGGTGTATTGTGGAGGACAGCAGCAGCAGCTTAAATGAACGATGGTCCGTCTGCAGCAGGAACATCGTGAGCGGAGGAGGAGCTGTCACCGTCTGTTTGTGTTCATTTAAACAACCACATTTCCATATGATATGTGTGTGCGTGTGCGTGTGCGTGTGTGTGTGTGTGTGACAGAGTTTGAATGACACACACGTTTACTCTCTCCTTCACACTGTTGGACACTCGCCATCTCTGCTCAGATTCAGATTCATTTATTTGCCATTTGCAGTAAAACCACATTGGAAAAACTGTGCAAGACTACCCCAGTGTGCACCAGACGACACGCACCAGAGCTCTTGCCACGCCGCCATCTTTACGGCGCCATGCTTGTGTCTAAAACAGAATAAAATCCTTCCTCAAAGCTGGGGGCAAGAAAATGTGATGGAAATGTGTATTTTTTATGGATACTTTATGGGAGTATATTTTGAAAAATGGATTATAACAAATATTGAAACAACATTTTTTTGGTTTTTGCAATTTTGTGTATAACTCAAAGTTGATGGGATTTATTATAGTAGTAGTAGAATATATTATATGTTTAAACAATCAGTAAAATAACCAATTTAAAAAGATACTATATATATTTTTTCAGTTATCTGGAAAGCGTTCTTAAATCACAGACTTCTGTTATAACCGTGACCATTGTATTCTAGCTGAAACTGAATATTCAAAGCAAAAATATATATATAAATATAAATTAAACACTTGAACTAAGTTATTTGAGAGGCAACACATTTGTACAGTTTATGGATATAATGAAAAGAACCGATAAAATAACAACAAAAAATTATCACTGAAATTGAGACTTTTTGAGTGATCTATCCTTTCGTGCATATATTCATTTTCACTGTCTAATATGTGTTAGTGTTAGAGTTTTACTAAACCAGAAATAGCTATAATTTAAGTAAATCTAAAATATCTTAAACTGAAGTGACTAATTAAACTTGTAAAATCCCATATAGATTTGAAAACAGGCCTCGATGTTTGCCGTTGGTCTGTTATTGAAATGATTCAGATTCCGTTTATTTGCCATTTGCAGTAAAAAAAAAACACATTGGAATACATTAGCAAAAAGTCTCCAGTGTGCACAGACAAATACAGACATCAAACAACATTAAAAGACAGAAATAAAACAAATAAAACAGTAAACAAATGTCACTGTGAAATCGATCGACTAAAACAGTTTCAAAACAAGTGCAAATCATTAAAGTGCTCAGTTCACACTGATAACAGCTTGTGGATAAAAACTGTTAGCGTAACGAGATGTCCTGCATCTCAGAGAGCGATATCTTCTGCCAGAGGGAAGAAGCTGGAACATGGCTTTCCCAGGGTGGCCAGAAGAGTCATTAACAATCCTAAGAGCTTTGTTTAAAAGTCTGGATTTATAAAGAACCTCCAGAACAGGAAGCTCACATGGATGGAGCTGATGGAGGATATTGTCAGTCTGTGCAGAGCTCGTCTCGCGCTGATCGTCACAGTCCGTCGGTACGTAGAGAACCGCAGAGTCGGGGAAGGAACCAGACGGTAACAATGGCCGATGTCTTTCACACTCTGCATCTGTCTCCTCCCTGCGCAGGCCTCTCAAACAGCTGAAGCATACAGAACTACTTCTCTGGAGGATCCTAATCATTTTCCTCCCACTGCCACTGAGATTGCAGCTATTGAAGAGTGAAAGCCCAGTGAGAGTGGATACAAAAGGCATAGGCTCGGACAAACCTGTGTCCTGCTCATTAACGGTGGAGGCTGATAAGAGCAGCACTTATTGAAAACAGCACATGATCTCTGCTCAATGCCCCCCACTGAGATTCTAACTCCAGGACTGCTTCTTCTCAAACATTCAGAAAACTTTACTGGGAGAATCTCATGTGTGTGTGGGTGTTTCGCATGTATATAAAATGAAAAGTTTTTGAATGACAATTTTGTGATACTAAAATGGGGATATGAATAACTGCTTTGATGTTTATTGTGCACAACCTTTAGTGCTATAGCAAGACCATGCTCGTTTTTGTTGTGGAATTTCTGCACAGACCGAGAGCAAAAATAATGTAAACAACCAAGAGCTGTTCTAGAATCAAAGCGTGAGTTTGTTCGTAAATGTGACATATACAATGAATAACAGAACCGATACCGATACCGTCTGCCACGAATGAGGTGATTACAGACATAGACCAGAGTAAACCCAGACATATCTACTTTATATATTACACAAATGAAGTCAGTATTGATATGTGCCGCTCAAGGCTCCTCTTCACACTTCCTTATGATGATACAACTGTGATTTTATTGAAAACAATCAGTAATACCCCGGAAACACGGTTCTTAGACACAGATATTGCCAAAGACATGTAGAAACCCGTCTCCCATCCATCGGCTGACCTGCTGCCGACAGACCATATGTGCTGTATTTGAATCATCATCGCTGGTATTTCCTCATGCAGTTGTCCTTGTGAAATGTTTCTTGTCTGTAAATGTCCTTAAACCCATGAATTGTTACTTTAAAATCCTGAACAGTTGATTCAAAAGTGCCACTGGCTTTGTTTTTGTTCCGGAGCAAACAGGAAGTTCAATGAGTAATGTTTTTTTAAGGGACTAGGGGTGGGATTAAAAGCGTTTTCTTCTTCCCACTCCTTTATCGAGTGTCTGCAAGTGTTGCTTTTGTGTATATAATATTTATAATTTCGTATTATGTTGCGTATTAAATGTAACTCACGATTTTGATATTCTACTTTTGTTTCTTGTACACTTATTTGCTTGATATAAACATGATGAAGACAAATCACAACTTACTCTTAGAACTATTCCATGTTAATGCAGATTGCTTAACTATAAGATTTCTATAATTTTGTCAACACTTGTCCATATAAGGCTTTTAGGACACCAATGCACACATTTCAAATTTACATATATAAAAGTAATTCAAAGTTCGTTAACCACGTGAACAACGTTGCTCCGATTTCAGCCACAGTTTCAGAAGTCTGAAGTTTAATAATAATAATAATACCTCGGTTTTATATAGCGCTTTCAAGAACTCAAAGATGCTTCACAAATTCATGACACACACACACGTTTAGACAGACACACAAGACAAATAATCTAAGAGTGGGAAAGAAGGGTTCAAAGTTTAAACTAAGAGTCAAATGCTTGGAGGAGTTTAGAGAGTCCGAGTTTCTGAGATGGAGGGGGAGAGAGTTTCTGAGATGGAGGGGGAGAGAGTTCCAGAGATGGAGGGGGAGAGAGTTACAGAGATGGAGGGGGAGAGAGTTCCTGCGATGGAGGGGGAGAGAGTTCCAGAGATGGAGGGGGAGAGAGTTTCTGAGATGGAGGGGGAGAGAGTTCCAGAGATGGAGGGGGAGAGAGTTCCAGAGATGGAGGGGGAGAGAGTTTCTGAGATGGAGGGGGAGAGAGTTTCTGAGATGGAGGGGGAGAGAGTTCCAGAGATGGAGGGGGAGAGAGTTCCTGAGATGGAGGGGGAGAGAGTTCCAGAGATGGAGGGGGAGATAGTTTCTGAGGTGGAGGGGGAGAGAGTTCCAGAGATGGAGGGGGAGAGAGTTTCTGAGATGGAGGGGGAGAGAGTTCCAGAGATGGAGGGGGAGAGAGTTTCTGAGATGGAGGGGGAGAGAGTTCCAGAGATGGAGGGGGAGAGAGTTTCTGAGATGGAGGGGGAGAGAGTTCCAGAGATGGAGGGGGAGAGACTTTCTGAGATGGAGGGGGAGAGCGTTCCAGAGATGGAGGGGGAGAGAGTTTCTGAGATGGAGGGGGAGAGAGTTCCAGAGATGGAGGGGGAGAGAGTTTCTGAGATGGAGGGGGAGAGAGTTTCTGAGATGGAAGGGGAGAGAGTTCCAGAGATGGAGGGGGAGAGAGTTTCTGAGATGGAGGGGGAGAGAGTTTCTGAGATGGAGGGGGAGAGAGTTCCAGAGATGGAGGGGGAGAGAGTTCCAGAGATGGAGGGGGAGAGTTCCAGAGATGGAGGGGGAGAGTTCCAGAGATGGAGGGGGAGAGAGTTCCAGAGATGGAGGGGGAGAGAGTTCCAGAGATGGAGGGGGAGAGAGTTTCTGAGATGGAGGGGGAGAGAGTTTCTGAGATGGAGGGGGAGAGAGTTTCTGAGATGGAGGGGGAGAGAGTTTCTGAGATGGAGGGGGAGAGAGTTCCAGAGATGGAAGGGGAGAGAGTTCCAGAGATGGAGGGGGAGAGAGTTTCTGAGATGGAGGGGGAGAGAGTTCCAGAGATGGAGGGGGAGAGAGTTTCTGAGATGGAGGGGGAGAGAGTTTCTGAGATGGAGGGGGAGAGAGTTCCAGAGATGGAGGGGGAGAGAGTTCCAGAGATGGAGGGGGAGAGAGTTTCTGAGATGGAGGGGGAGAGAGTTTCTGAGATGGAGGGGGAGAGAGTTCCAGAGATGGAAGGGGAGAGAGTTCCAGAGATGGAGGGGGAGAGAGTTTCTGAGATGGAGGGGGAGAGAGTTCCATAGATGGAGGGGGAGAGAGTTTCTGAGATGGAGGGGGAGAGAGTTTCTGAGATGGAGGGGGAGAGAGTTCCAGAGATGGGGGGGAGAGAGTTCCAGAGATGGAGGGGGAGAGAGTTTCTGAGATGGAGGGGGAGAGAGTTCCAGAGATGGAGGGGGAGAGAGTTCCAGAGATGGAGGGGGAGAGAGTTCCAGAGATGGAGGGGGAGAGAGTTCCCGAGATGGAGGGGGGAGAGAGTTCCCGAGATGGAGGGGGAGAGAGTTCCAGAGATGGAGGGGGAGAGAGTTCCAGAGATGGAGGGGGAGAGAGTTCCAGAGATGGAGGGGGAGAGAGTTCCAGAGATGGAAGGGGAGAGAGTTCCAGAGATGGAGGGGGAGAGAGTTTCTGAGATGGAGGGGGAGAGAGTTCCAGAGATGGAGGGGGAGAGAGTTCCAGAGAGTGGGACAAGAGATGGCGAAAGCTTGTTCCCCCAAGGTTCGGTGCTTGGATTTGACAGTGGGAGTGAGGGGAGTCTGCAGATCGGAGTCGACGGAGGGACTGTAGGGCTGTAGAAGTTCAGTGAGGTCATGGAGGGCTTTGTAGGTGACTCATTGACTGCCAGCCGTTTTTGATGATTTCACTGATTCTCAAGACCCACAGAATATTATTTCCAAAGACTTGGTGAAATACAAATCTAGATTCTGAAAGTCTGGATTGTCTACTTTGATCAGCAAAAATAAGTCTGTTTCTAGCTATTATTATTGTCCTGTAATCTCCAGTCGAAAAGAGGGTCTCTTTAAGAGGGACAAATACGTCAAAGGCAATGAGTTAAAACGATACAACCTCCTCAGCTGCGAACTGCACCTGCTTTTAAATAAATTACGTACAAATCATTTTGTGTTGCATCCACTCAGAGCTTCTAATATTTTGATTATATTTTGATAATGTGAGACTTAATCAAAACATGAAAGAGGTTTGTTGTAAAAATCAGTCAATGCATTTTGGTGGATTACAATATTTCAGCCTCTATCTTAATATGAAATGCAAACGTTATAGACATCTCATTAATCACCTTTGCTGTTATCTTGTATACCTAGCTCCACATGGGTTGTTCCTCCTTTTACATATTCAATCCTGGCTTCTCTCTCGCTCCTTCTCTCGCTGCTAACTAGCCACTGTTGGAATACAAACTCATTAGGATTACATAGTCATTTAGCTAAGTGACACGGCCTGTAATTGTACCATCCATCAATTGCTGTGTAATAACACCCGGAGAGGAGCTAAATGTTGATTAGCCCTCAGCCAATTTCACCAGCGTCTTTGGGGAATAAAGAGCAAGAAGAGAGATGGTCCGCTGGGACGAGATGATGAGGGGGCAGGGGTCCAGGGTGCGGACCCGAGCTGGATGAATGAACTGAAAACTGTGTCAAAGTAGCATCGAGTTTATTGATATAGATGTTGCTGAAATCTGTTCTTTTTGAAATGTTCAGTATGATAAAAAGAACCAAAAAGAACCTTATCCCTTATCCTGTATTTCTATTACACTGCTTACCCCAACATTCTTCTGTTGTCACACAGACTACTGTATGTATAGATAGAGAAGATGGATAGATACTTTATGGATTACCCTTAGGAGAATGTATCCAGTATGGTCCAGTAGCAGAAAAAATATAAAATAAAATAGATCATTTTAAAAAGCTAACAATAGTAATAATAACAGTTCGTCAGGTCACAGCAGCAGAGGTGGAGTAGCCTCTGGGTGGAGCAGGACGGGTCACAGCAGCAGAGGTGGGGTAGTCTCTGGGTGGAGCAGGACGGGTCACATGGTGGAGCCGCTTGGTTCAGACCATTTTCTCTGCTCTAGTCCAACGTAAAAGGCTAAATGCTTCATTAGCATTTTTCAAAAAGTTAGCATTCCTCCAGTGGATTTTCATCTGATCCACTTGGTCTGGACCATGAATCCTCTCTGCTCTGGTCTGGACCAGTGTAAAACCATGAATCCTCTCTGCTCTGGTCTGGACCAGTGTAAAACCATGAATCCTCTCTGCTCTGGTCTGGACCAGTGTAAAACCATGAACACTGAACTGCAGCAACATCTCAGGCAGAAAAAAAGAAAGAAAGATAACAATTGTAAAACAAAAACAGTTTCAGAGACACTCAGGACTCGCTGCTGTTTCCAAAAAGCAAAACGGGCAAACTATAATTTTGTGTCCACCGCACTTTCAGCTGGGTACATACAGCTTGAAGCACTAATCCACAAACCCATAAGAGTTTGGTTCTATCACTAGTTTTCGGACGCAGTGTTGACCGAAGTGAAAAAGAGAGGATCACAAACACTTGAGCCCAAAACATCAGACTTTTCAGAAAATGACATGTTTTCTAAAAAGCATGATTCTAATAAACGGTATTATTTTTGAAGCAAATATTGGGGCAACGGTGGCTCAGTTGGTAGAGCATTGGTCTTTGGGCCTGAAGGTCGTGGGTTCGATCTCTCCATGGACTCCCGCTGATGTCTGCTGTCATTGTGTCCATGGGCAAGACACTTAACCCCACTTTACCTGAAGCCCAGGGAGGGAGATCAGTGAGGGGCTGGTGCTCTATGCGATGGGTGCAGCTCTGATTACCAACCCCCCGACCCAGAAATGGACCAAGGAGAGGAAAATGAATGGATTTATGAAGCAAAGAAGTCATGTACCCCAGCTTTTATTCCTGAGTGTGAACTTGCTGTTTGTACGACATTCATCTCCACCTTAGTCCAGAATCTCGCTCCTTATCTCCATCACCTACAAAATGCTTGGGTTCCAGATTCCTAACCGCTGTTTTCGCCTTATCACAGTTTATTTTGTGCTATTTTAGCTTGTTACTTGTTATGGAACTTTGTAAATATGTTTTATTTTGAGCAAGCAGTTCTATTTACTGAAAGCAACGGAGGCTGTAAAGGCAGCAGTGCAGAGTGTGTGAAGCCAAATCCAGTGGAAGTCGTTGTATTAGCAGCAGCAGTTGAAACTTACAGCCTGATAAATGGTTTTATTGGATAATTGTTGTTTTTCCTACAGTGAATATTGTGTGTAATGCTATAATATTAGAACCTCTGCCCAATAATTGCGTCTTCAAAACAGAGAAGACAGTTTTGCTTGTATGGCACAGTGCATCCACAAGACACAGGCACAAGACAAAAACAAGTCATTCAAATCGTAAATATCCACAGTACATGATGTAGAAGTCTGCGTCATATTCTCAGACTGTTTTAGATTTTAGCTGCATGAACCTGAAATTCTGCCCTCTCCATGTTTACTCCGGACTCTGGGAATCAGCAGGAGGCCAGTCCCTGTGAGCCTCAGAGCCCCAGCAGGAGGCCAGTCCCTGTGAGCCTCAGAGCCCCAGCAGGAGGCCAGTCCCTGTGAGCCTCAGAGCCCCAGCAGGAGACCAGTCCCTGTGCTCCTCAGACTCTGAGTTGGTTCAAATGGCACTAACATGTCTCAGATGTGTTTTTGTGGGAGGCCATGTAGAGACTTATTAAAAGTCTACTCTTCAAGCCAAAATAAGCAGAGAAAATCATTAGTTATTTTACTGTGATGTTGTGTTGTTTACTTTTGTCAAATACATCATTCATTCATTCATTTTCAACCCCTTTAGTAATCAATTTCTGGGTCAGGGGAGGTGGCAATGCCTCGCTGATCAGTCCATCGCTGATCCTCTGCAGGTGGTGAGTCCACAGGATGATGGCTTCTTGATGCAGCCTTGTTCTTTCAGCAGGGGCTTCAGGCAACGTGGGGTTAAGTGTAAGGATACAACAACGGTAGACATTTGTGGGAGCAGTTGGAGTAGGTCCCATGGTGGGCTCAAACCCACGACTTTCAGGCTCAAAGGCCAATGCTCTACAACTGAGCTACTGTCGCCCCATCACTGCATTAATGCAGTAGTTAAATATAATAGCATTATAATTCTTCTAAATGGACTCTATAATTTATTTTCAAAACTTTTGCCCCTCACTCGATGATTCAGTGAAACTCTTTGCTTTTGAACTTGCAAGAGCAGAGCGATGACAGAAGAGGTGTTGGAAGCTTATTCTCTCTTCCATCGGAACAGACTCATTTTCATCTCCTAAAATAGCTAGTGAATAACATAATTACCCATTATATTGATGACAATATTTAATGCAGAACACATCCCATTGGCTGACAGTGACGCGCGGCTTATAACGAGACTGGAGTTAAAAAGGGTATAAAGGAACCGCTAGAAGAGAAGAGAATACGAGTTTTTAATTATAATAGTGGCTCTTAAGGTGGTATGGATGCATTGTGCCGAGAAAAGACCCACTCCGCCCTCGTGAACCGTCTCTCTGTATCTCTAATGGCCCTGGCTTTTGTCTAGCGCTACTATCACTATCTGAGAAGTGAAAATTGGTTTGACTTTTACAGTGCTGTAATTGGCGGTGCACGGGGCATGTATTCATGTCTAAAAAAAACGTGTTTGCTAAAAAATAAACTTGGATTTTAAACTTTCTCAATGTTCTCTGGTTAGTTTCTGTTAAAGAAATATCTTAATGTGTGCCTTGAAGTGTTTTGACTCCATTAATTTTTTTTTAAGTGTTTTGTTATAACGACAAATGTGTTATTATTATTATCATTATTATATTTTTTAAACAATGATTGATACTGTCGTTTATAATTGTACTCATTAATGTTCTGAAACCAGTGGAGGAGGGTCCCGGCTCAAAAGTGGCCAAAATGACGTGCGCTGACATGCTGCAATACCACCCCCGGCCTGTGGGGGTGGACCCGGAATAAGAATTAGCCAATGCTAACATATAGCATCTTCTTACCTCTTGAAAACGTCTTTACAGGATGGTCCAGTGGCTCTTGGTCCAAAGCTCCGTTACACATGTGTGTCAATGCTGAGGGAGTGTTCTGGTGCAGTCTAGTTTAGTCGCTGTGGACTTTAGAAGTCACTCGTTTAAATGAATGGGGCTCGTGCAGCTGACGCATGCACAGATGCGGGGTTTTTTCACATTTTCCAGCCCCCGCGGCCATTTTTAAACACATTAATATATGAAGTTTACAAACGGGATTAGCCAAGTCTACTATTAAGTGAAAAAATAAATGTTTTTATTTGGATTTATATGTTTCCAAGAAAAACCTGAGGCTTAACATTGGAGGACCATCAATGTTAAAAAAATAAAATAAAAATATAGAGGGAAAAAATCTATTTTGAGTCCAGTCTCCATTATAGCACAAATGGAGCCACAGTGACCCAAAAATAAAACCTTTTGTGCCTTAAAAGTACAACATGTTTTTATATTTTATATCTAAAACATTTACAATATATTTTCTGAAGGGAACAACATAATTCACACAGGACAAACTGACAATAACCTAAAAAAATAGGTTCAGAAGACAACTGCGGTCTTCCCGTGGTCTAAGTCCTACTCAGTCCTACTCAGTCCTGCTCAGTCCTGCTCAGTCTAACTCAGTCTAACTCAGTCTAACTCAGTCTAACTCAATCCCGCTCTCTATCTCGTTCTATCTCGTTCTATCTCGGTCTATCTCGGTCTATCTCTGTTTATCTCGGTCTATCTCGGTTTATCTCGGTCTATCTTGGTCTATCTCAGTCCTGCTCCTGCCCCATGGGTTTTCTCAGACCTACAACCAACAGGTTTCATATCTCGACGATCACACCTGAGTATTTGTTAGTTCAGCAAAGTGTGCGTTGGTGCCTTGAAACCTATAGCTTCAATGTCGTAGAATTCACTTATTGCGGGTTATTTTTAGAATTTAACCCAAACGAGAAACCAGGGACCACTGTAAGGAAACATTTATTGGTAAATGTTTTCTCTTCCGTCACTTTGTCACCGCTGAACATGATCCGCCTGCGTCCCAATGAGAACCACATTGATTTTAATTGTGTTGCTCTAATTTCTCCATAACACTTCAACATCTTAATTAAACATGATTGTTATCGATTTGTTTGATTCTCCAAAAGGCTCTTTGGCTCAGCGGAGTAAAACCGGCTGTGCTCTCATGTGGTGTAAATGTTTTAATAGAAGCCGCATCAACACAATAATATTAGTAAGTTATGGTTTGCTTTCTTCTCCCTACATCTGAGCCGACCTTCAATGCTTAAAGGTAAAGGTGCACTTTATTTACCCCCGTAGGGCAAATCATCCTCTGCATTTGACCCATCCTGATGCTGCTAAGGCTTACGTCAGGAGCAGTGGTCGCCGTAGTAACAGCGCCCAGGAACCCATCTCCAGATGTTGATGCTCGGCTTGGTCAGGACTAGCTGGTCGTGCCATACCATAGTACTAATTACATTTGGTACTAAGGTCTGGATTTGCTCCATTGACTCCGTTAACAGGTGGGAAGGGTTAACTCCTTTTGCAGATTGAAACGATTGGATCTGAGTTTACCGTAACGTACAGTATGTAATGACCCCGAGTGAGTTGTTAGCATTTAGCATTTAGCCTAGCTTTAGCCTTTGCCGCTAACGGAGCCCGTGGGGAGTAGCGCCACAATCTTTGCAGCGATTACATTTGCTAAACATTCCTCTTGCTCCGGCTTCTATTTCTTGATAGAACCAGACCAGAATACTTTGCTACCGCATTCTTCGCCAAACTACAACCTGCCCGTTCGGAGCAAACTCTTGAGGTCACCCACATCTAACTACAACACCCGCCTCCCGCGCACTCTGATTGGTCGGATGGAATTCAACCGATTGTAATCACAAACACAGGGACCAGACCCAGACGTTACATGCAGGACATGATGATTGACCAGAGTGTACGGATGGATAAGACCAGGCTAGGTCAGGACTATCAGAGCTGGAGGATTTACCCTATTGTGCAGGTTTTTAGTGGTAGAGTAAACCGTAGCACCCAGAGGAAACCTTAGCAGGCATAGAGACTAAAATCTTGTTGACCCACCATCAGGATAAAATGTATTGTCTAAGTAGTCATTATAAAAACTTGGTATGACCACATGACAATTTTTTTTTGCTGCTACTGGACACCTACATTTCTCCTACGGGATTCAATAAAGTATCTATCTAGCTTAAGATAAAGTACAGTTTAGCACATATCAGTTCCTTTTATATTTTTAAATCACTACTTTTTTTCCGTCATGTGAATTACAACACCTCATTTTGACGAGATGATGATGTTTTTGGAAGCAGTAATTGAATGATCTTGTTTTGTTATGACATGACTCACCCAAAGGACACAGTACGTGACGCATTTGGACCTGAAAGTCTCTGTAATGGAGCTGTTTATGGCCCGGCAGTGGAGGTTCTGGCCCGAGAGGCTTCCACTTCACCTCCTCTGCTCCTGCCGTCATCTGCTGCTCTACCTCCGTGTGTGAGTGAGAATACGCTTTCATTTCAGCGGGATTATTTCACTGGTCTGAAGAGTTTGGGTCTTGTCTCGGAGCGCCCCGCGGAGATGTCCCTCTGATCCAGACTTTTTAACGCTTTCAAAGGCGTCTCGTAACTTTCCCTTAATACTGCAGCTGGAATCATTAAAAACAGAAAATGCTCTCATACAGATATTATAAGCACACGCTGGACAAATGTATTCACTCATTATGTTTACGTTGGTCTTAACCCTTTCACACTTTCCTCAATGAGATCACTTTTTGAGTCACTGAAACCAACCTCTATCACTTAGTTTTAGGCACTGTTACCATCAAGCTGCATCTTAAACATTTGGTATAGGCCTAGAATAATAAAAACTAGGGGTTGGAAAAAACACATAAAACTAATTTGTGTTATTAGTTCTCTTACTAATCAAAAAAAATGACATGACTTTCATCAAGGAGCGAACATTAAAGGGTTAAAAGCGCCATGATTCTGACTAACTTTTGTTTTTGCTCTGTGACTCAAAACAATTCTACAAAACATATGTGTAATGATCTAGAACAACAAGAGTGAGGACCCTGTACCCGACTCCAGACATTTCTAATAGTTTGACTTTTCCCTGTGTGCTCAAATGCATTTTTCCAATCAGATGTATGCGTATGTATAATGCTCACTCTGGAATGGACTTTTCACTCCTTACTTAGCGGGCACTGGTTTACATTGCATTAAATTGGAGTTGCGGGAGAATTCCACGTTCACTAGTGCTATATCAACACACTCATTGAACTTTGATTACTACATGACATCACTCCAACTTCGGGATTTCTTCTATCAAAAGTACTTTGCAAACAATGTTAAATCCAGCACAGAAAGCAGAACACTATTTGGAAAACAGTCAATTTGTAAGAAGGCTTTGAACTTCCACTTTTATTTTGCAAACTGTAAACATCTCTAAAAGTTCACATTTTCAGACATAGTGAGTTCCGAGTTTACAATCCCCCTCTAAACTGGCCTAAACTGAGGATCCACTCCGTTTGAAAACTTTAAAGCCCTGGTGCGACGTTAGCGGGCCTGATTAACAAGCTAACCGTGAGCTGCATGGATCTAGGACTACATCTCCCAGCAGCTGTGGCCCCGCCCCTCTGTATCTGCACACACAGAGCGTGGGGAAGTGATTACTGCCGGATTAGACCTGGCTTCGCTCTGATATGTGTTCTATAATTGAATAAAAGCAGCCTCACCCCAACAATCCCACAGCTCTCAGGCCTCCCAGCCCCATCAGATTGGCACAATATTAACCATGACACAGGCGTAACCAGGCCGGTAATTAATGCACCGAATGAATTACAAATTAGTCCATTTGGAGAATTCCCCGAAGGAGTCCAGTCATTACCACTGTTCTGATGGAGTTACAAGGCGTCCGTGTGGGATTGGTGTCGCTGTGTTCTCCAACTGTCTCCTCTTGTCTCAGCCATGATGACCTGTCCTTGGTCTAGTGCTGCGCAGAGCGGGTTTGCTGATTCTGTTACTTACCGGAGACTTTTTATGACTGATGGTTTGTGTTTTGCTGGTGTTCCTTCGCTGTTAATGATACGGACTGTATTTCAATGAGAGTTGCTACAAAACTGTTATGTGAAGCTCCTGATATTTACTGAAAACTTCACTTGTTAATGCAGAGACCAAGCAATTTATTTTTAAATAGTTATTTTGTCCTTAGGTAAGACACTTTGCACCATCCAAAGCCACTCCACGACAGCCTTGACACTGATATGACGGGAAGAAGACCTTGAAAAGGAGGTTGTTATGTTAGAAGTCAGAAATTAGTACTGCGTCTTATACCTGGATACAGATGGCTCTCAGAGAAAGAGTGTTAAGCCTCCGCCGTTGTCCCATGTCACACTTTTCCTTTACCTCTTCAAAGGGGCAGACACTCATTATGTACAAGAGCTTTCTGAGTCAATCCAAGACCCGAGAAAGAGATCAAGTTCAGAATACGTTAGTAGTGCTGTCAGTTGAACGCTTTAATAACAGTGAATGCAAACCCACTTTAACAGCTGGGACCACAATATCTATAACCAACACCTTTTTCACAAAGCTAGAAATCCTGGTTTTATTCCTTGTTTTGTCGTTAATGATTTGAGAATCATAACGAGACCTTTTTTAGTTCTGCGCCACATGGTACTTTACCAGTGAGATTAGCTCCACGCGGTGAGTTCTGGCGCCCGGATCACAGACTTTCTGATTGGTGAAACGGTGGAGGGCGGGACATCGAAATGAAAACATGACAGATTAGGGCCCTTTAATGATGACTTTAAATGGAAATCTTACATATAGATTTTTTAAACTCAACTTTAACTGGATTTCTGTGCTGTATATTACACCATGAACTCTCTCTGATGATCTTAAGCAGAGTTCCGTCTTGAATGCGGATCCCGGTCGTGTTTACCTTTTCCCTGTTTTCCGCCGCGCTGCTGTCGCTCTGTGATGAATGCACCTTACAGGACGCCGCTGTCAGAGTGCCTGACAGGTCTACTGTCACACTGTCAGAGGCGATGATCCTCAATCGCAGAGCTCACACCACACTCGGCCCAGACACGTCGTCTCACACCCCCTCAACATCCCCCTCCAACCCTGCACTCCCCCACATCCCCCCTTCCCCAGTCTTCTCTCTCCTCAAAGTCACTCAGTCTGACCTGGCTCATTAGTGACTGACAGCTCCAGCGATGCCTGGCCCATCACATCACTGTCACAGGCACAAACATATGTTTTTGAATTCTTAATTTGCCTCTGGAATTCCTTATAAATTGTTATTTCTTTCCTTCAACCCGGTCAGCCAATCCCCATTCTTGTGTATTATGAGCGCTATAACTGAGCTGAAACTCCAAAGTCTTACAAATAATTCATTGTTTTTGCCCCAAAAGAAAGACTCTTGTACAAGTACCAATCAATCAATCATTCTTCATCTCATTATAAAACATGTTATCTTCTGCATACTTGTAAGAAAGATCCCTGTGATTTGCTGATTCACACTTTGGGCTCGGAGCTGATTGGCTGAGTGAGGTCCTCTGTTTGTCATTTTTATGTCTGAAAAAGCATAAGCAGATGTGATAGAAAATACATGCCTGAAAACAAGTCATAGAAACGAGCTGTTTTAAAAGCAAAAAAAACCTGCTAGACTTTTCTACGTAGTTAGATAACCCAGCTTTAATATTATACTTTTTGTGACATCATTGCACTAGCTTTCCCGCTGTTGATTTAATGTCCTTATACTAAATTAGATATGATTTTCAATGACATTCATGGGGGGTTTTTCTTCCCATCAATTCATGATTACAGTATCCTCCACCTTTTCAGATCCTGCTGAATATGTTTTTTTTATCTTTTCCTTTGGAAAATAATCACTGACCGTTAATACACCATATTTTACCAACCACTAAAACATGTGACTTGAGATCTGGGGTATACATATTGGCCAAAGAAAATGAATTAAAATCATTGTTGTTCATTGAATCACCAAATTTCAAACTACTCATTAACCACCTCCTATAATGTTCCGATATTGGATTTTTCCCATCAGTGCTGAAAACAGTGTTGCTTCTGTGTGAGGAGTGACCCAACCTGACGCAAAGGAAGGACATGGAACAGAGACAGAGTCCTCCGTGTGGCTTTCATGTGGCTTGAACCAACGCTGTTTAATCTCAGCTGAGAATCCCCCTGTTCCGTGTCCAAACACATACACTGCTCCCGCGATCGCTTCTGTGATGCAACCGTCAGAAGACACCCTTTCTATATCGTCAAATATGAATCACCAGAGCTTCTCATCCAAGTCATTTCCCATCGCAAGCCCAACACACACACACACACATCAAAGCCAGCATCAAATACAGGTGTTAGAAGTGGCTCTGATTGAGTTTAAGGCAGTCTCGAGGGATTGAGATGTCAGAGAGGAGAAAGTACTTTGGTGACTTACAACGTTGCGAAATAAGTAGCTCGGGAAATGCAGTCCCCAGAGGGATTGGGAAGTCGGATCCAGTGGGCATTTCTGCAGGCAAGCCGAGACTGGTACCATATTGTTTATACACATTTACATAATCTTATATTAAAAAAAAACATCCATAAATACATAGCAATATTTCTGAGAAGAGAAATACTCACAGCTGTCACTTTTTTTTTGTCAGAGTTCATGATTGGCGGGTAAAAACTTGTGGTTTGTGTAGATTTGGCCGCTACCTTAAAACAGAAGCATTTACCTTTCTGTTTGACAATGCGTAAAACAAACATATAGCATTTTGTGAGCTATCAAAACTCAGGCTGTTTCAGGTCTTGCATGAATATTATTGGACAGACATTTAACAGTGATACGCGTTTTGACGTCTCTGCTCTGTTTACCCTTTTAAGCCTTTTAAAGCCTTTTAAACACGTTTTTACGGTGTATTAGTGTCTTTTGTACACTCTAGTGTTTTATTATCTTAAATGCAATGGTTCCAGAGCATTACGTCTTTTAACACAAAGACCAAATCGAAACGCGCTAGCTCGGAGGCTACCACGAGCGCACCACAGACATGGAAAGTGACACTGCAATGACCACGAACGACATTAGTCGCCTCACATTGGAGCTTCGTGAGAGGGACCGTGCCACTATTGCAGACCTCCGTAAAGAAGTCCTTCGCCTCACTGCAGAGCTGCAGGATAAACAGTCCACTCGTGTCCAAACTTTTTGATGTCGCTGGCGGGCAGCACTCACGGCTTATGTCACTGAGCGCTGCATACTGTGACACTGTCGTGTGGGAGAGGTCCTGTCAGCTCTGGGCCCTCTTGTTCTACACCTAAGTGCCCGGTTCGGAATAAAGAGCCTGCGGACTGCGAGGAGCCATCCAGCGCCGTGGCCCATGTGCTGAGCCTGTCAAACCGCTATGCAGCACTCTCCGCTGACATACCAGCCCCCTCAGCAGAACCCCTGGACTCTGCAGCAAACTCTACTGCTGTCCGTGGATCCAGGTCCACTGCGAGAAAGACACTCTTAAAGGAAGCTGTCCTCAGACGAAAGAGTGATCATTCCCCTTCTCTGACCCCAGTGCATCACCACCACTTACCTTCACCGGGTCAGCAGCAGCGACCCGAGCCTGCTCCTCTCGCCGCTCCAGCGTCTCCGTGCACACAGCGTGGGTTGCCCGGAGCTGGGAATCAACACCCCCACTCTTCTCCATGTGTTCAGCAGCGCCCTGGTTCGGACCCATCCCTGGATGAGCCCGCTGGTTCTGGCCATGGACACCGAGCGCCTTCTCCGCGGCCGCGTCCACTTTTCGCCCCAACTACTCTGATTATTGGAGATTCCATCGTGAGGCACGTCCGCTTTTTTAACGCGGTCACTCACTGCATTACCGGAGTTACAGTCCCAGATCTGCTCATCCGTCTCCCTCCTCTGCTTCACTCCCTGCCCGATACCATATCCAAGGTAATCGTGCATGTGGGTATAAATGATATGAAGCTGCAGCAGTCAGAGGTCACAAAGAAGCACTTTATGAATCTGTTCCGCCTCCTCCAGCCTCCGGGTTGTGTGTTTTTATCTCTGGTCCAGTCCCGACTGTAAACCGGGGTGACTGCCTCTACAGTCGCGTTGTGGCGCTCAACATGTGGCTCCAGTCTACATGCAGCACTTTTAACTTTATTTTTGTGAACAACTTTGGCCTGTTCTGGAAGCGTCACGTGGCCTATCGTCCAGATGGTCTGCACCCGAACAGATACGGCACCAGTTTGTTGACGGACTTCCTGCGCCATGTTGTTCAGTGCTCCCCGAGGGGGGCGTGACTGTTTACATCTGAGGCTTCTCGGCCCCCACCACCCCCCTCCTCTTCCTTACCAGCACCGGGTGAGTACTGTGGTGCAAACACTGACCCCTGTCCGTCTGGCAGTGTAACGACAGTCCTGCCACTGAACTGTGCTGACTCAGTTATGCATCTGGAACTTAACAAAGTACAACAGAGTTCACTTTTTAAACCAATAGAGACTGTGTGTGTTCCTCGCACCAGCTCAGAAATGTGTTTTAACTTGAATAAACACAAATTTAAAAGAAGGACAGCAGTTAGACGGTCCAACTCTGGAAATCTAATTCCAGTTCTTTGTAATCAATCAACTAAACCCACTGACACTGATATTAATTTTAACCTTGCTCTACTTAATGTCAGATCACTATGCAACAAATCATTTTTAATTAATAATTTTATCTGTTCGTATGATCTTGATTTTATGTTTATGACTGAAACATGGCTTGACCATAATACAGGAGATGCAGTTTTAATAGAAGCCTCACCACCAAATTTCAAATTTGAATATGAAACACGAGAAAATAAAAGGGGGGGGGGCATAGCAGCAGTTTTTAAAGATCGTATTGTCTCCCATAGGGTGTCTCTTGGGAAATTTTCATCATTTGAGTATGTTTCTTTTAAAATAAAACAAAAGAAATCTTCTTCCATTCTTATTATTGTTGTGTACAAGCCGCCACAGTCATGCCATAGTTTCACTGATCATTTCACTGAGTTGCTTTCAGTTGTGTGCACAGATTTTGATGGTTTAGTCATTATAGGCGATTTTAATATTCATGTGGATAATGTTAATGACAGATACGCAAAAGAGCTGAGTTCCATACTTGAATCCTTTGGCCTCACTCAGCATGTGAGTGGCCCCACCCATAGCAGAGGACACACCTTGGACCTGCTTATCACGAAAGGGGTGTGAATATTTCAAAAGTTAATGTAGTTGATGTTGCTCTGTCGGATCATTTCTGTGTATTTTTTAACATGTGTTTTGCTACCAGACCACCCGCTAAATATGAAATTGTTAGAAGTAGACACTTAAATGAAAACACGGGTGAACTATTTATGGGAATGATCCATTTTGAGAACGCATCATGTTCTACTGTAGATGAACTGCTTAACTCTGTCACCTCTAGTGTGTTGAATGTTCTGGACCCATTGCCCCTGTGAAGGTAAAAATGGTCACAAATAAGCAAAAAGCCCCATGGATAAAAGCAGGCCCGGTCAGGGCACAGAAGCAAGAGTGCCGGAGAGCAGAGAGAAAGTGGAGAAAGTCCAACCTCCAGGGTGATTATAGACTCTTAAAAGAGAAGTTGTGTGAGTTTAACAGAGTACTACGTAGAACAAGAGAATTATACTTTTCTGAAACTATTGAAGGCTGCAGCAACAATCTGCGTGTTCTATTTTCAACAATCAATAGATTAACGAATCCCCCTGTTGAGTTGCCATTAGAACACTACTCCAAATCCAGGTGTAATGAGTTTGCACAGTTCTTCAGAGACAAGGTTCAGGGTATCAGAAATGCCATCACCTCTACAACACAAGTAACAATGCAACATCCAGTGAGGCTTTGTGAGCTAGCTCAATTTGCACCTGTCAATGATGAAACTGTTAAAAAGATAATCACAGGTCTTAGTTCCTCTACCTGCAGTCTGGATGTACTACCTCCTAGATTTCTGAAGTCTGTTATGTGTAGTCTATTACCCTCATTGACACAAATAGTAAACATGTCTTTTTTATCTGGAACATTTCCAATGGCCCTGAAAAAGGCAGTCATTAGGCCCCTCCTAAAAAAGAGCAGTTTGGATGCTGCGGTACTTGAAAATTACCGTCCCATCTCAAATCTGCCTTTCATGGGAAAAATTCTTGAAAAAGTTGCCTACCAACAACTT